CATGTCCTTTACCACTTCTGTGACACAAGTTTCATAACTAAACTTTCCGGTTGTATGTACATGTACTTTCTTTGGAGACACCATTTGTCTCCCAACAAATCGGAAAATGATCAAGATAGTGACTCTGATTGATTCACATATTGTATTGACCGTGATGACTGTTGACATTGCTTTTCAGTCTCCAATATTTAAGTGAGTCGTGCTTTGGAAATGACAATAACTTTTTATTACCCAACCCTTGAGTTGTTTTGTTTTTCATTTACCCAACCTTTTAGTTACTCAAAATTTAGTTTACCCAACCCTTTTCTCTTCGGTGCCACCCCCCACCATAAATAATGACCGGTCCCTAATAACGGTAGTTCATATAGTTTTTGTCGTAAACTATATCTAAAAGTGTAAAATTTAAGTATGATTCTTGTCACAACCACATCAAAGGCTAATTTCCACTCAGGAAAATTATCCGTGGATTGGAACGGACAAGTAAATTTTTCTTTGTCTTGTGAGCTCTAGGTGGAATTAATGACTTTAACACAAAGAAAAATTTTCTTGTCCGTTCCAATCCACGGATAATTTTCTTGAGTGGAAATTAGCCTTAATAGTCATTATACTGATTAAGCCTTGCACATTATTATGATTAAGCCTAACTTAACGGATATCAATGCATGGAAATACCGTGTTTTCGAGTCAGCAGATTCCGTGTCAAAGGAGCCTTTAGTTTAGTCGTCTACGACCGCACGTTTATATAACATATTGCCTTTTACATGAAAGTTTTGTAAACATGGAACAAAAACAATGTAGATTTCTCACGCAAACTGACCTGCACTCTCCCTTCATCCAAATCAACTTTCCTCGCCAGCGAGTCTCTGGTTTCGACATCGGGATATTGTGAGACGCGGTAGGCTAGCTCTAACTGTTCCAGTTGATATCGAGTAAATACCGTGCGATGTCGTCGCTTCTTCTTTTGAATTTTCTCGTAAACATCGTCGCCCTCCCGCTTTCTTTTACACAACACTGTACGAATTAAAAAAGACTATCTTTTAACGAAAGAAGAAAACTGCTTTTCAATCTAAGGCTATGCTCGCAAAGCCTGCAAGGGGCCAGACGAATTGAATTCGAATTGAAACCGAGCACGCTTTGAGGAAGAGACTATAGTGATTCGAAACGTGTCGGTTCGTGACTCGAACGAATTTAAACCAAAAGCGTGCAGCGAGTGAAAAATGTTTGATGTGACATCTCGTTGGCGTTGCCGAAAAGTATCGAATTCAAAACATTAGCACAGTTTCTTTGTTTTACTGACTTTGCAATAGATTTAGAAAAGTTGATGACAAAATTTTCTGTTCCCGCCAATTTAGTCAACTCGCATGAATGATAAATTGCGAGAATGACTCCGCGCTATTACTGCAATTACAAAAATTAGTGAATAACCGATTCGATAATTGCATATTATTTGCAGAAATTGAATTATAAAGCAGATTGAAAAAAGCTAATTTTCTAATTAAGCTTATTGCGTAGGTTGAATGATTTCTTAACAAAACAAAGTTATGAAGGTATGAATAGGAAGGAACTTTATTTAATTATCCCACGCCTATACTGATTAATTTTACAAAGAAAATTACACTCGGCAAACGGCATAACCTAATGCAACGCCTGCACATATATTTTTAATGATAAGCAAAATCTATATTGAATACAGAATAGAGTTCAAATTTTTATAACTAGAAACGATATTGTCTAATTACACGCACGAGTGCTCAATTTTAACAAGGGTACGACGGAGTAAAAGTATACTATCGCATCTAAGAGATAAGACGAAATATACATACGAATGAGGCCAAAACTCACCATTTAACTGAGTACATGATATTGTAGGACTAACAAGCTCTCCGCGTGGCTGTGCGAATCCAACAACTTGTCCCGTAAAAGTTGAGGTGGTTTTATTTTCTTGATTATCAAATGCAGTCATCTTTTTTTCTTCTAAGCTTCAGTAAAACTCTGCTTCTTATCTGCCCGCCTGAGATGCGTAGTGGCTTCCTTGGGTGTCTCTTACAAAATGAACTGCACAATGTGTTTATAAAATAGGTTAATTGCGACAAATGTTTGTTTAGAATCCTCTTTGTCAGGTAATTATGCCGTTAATTAAATATTCACGCGTAGTTTATTTCATCGGCACGAAATGTCACGAAAACCTACAATTATTATTATAATCTATTAAAATCGATTCTGAAACATTAGAAACAATTTGGCTTAATTATACGAAATTTTTAATGCGAAAAATGTCTTTGGAACTTAAATTTTAGAACACTTTTAATTAATATTGTCGGTCCCTACTAAGACGTTTACTTTGCGGTGAAAACTGTTACATTGCAAAATATAAACAGAAGATAGCACAAAAATAGCGTGGTCTAAAAATTCGACAGAAAAACAATTCAGACCACAGCTCACGAAAGCTATAAATGTCTCTCTTTGTTGTAATTCTCAATATATTCTCGCGGTTATAGGTTTAATTAATTTAACTTTTAAAGTAGTCGATTGGCCCCATATAGAGCTTTAAAGACAAATAATTAAGAAAACGTTTTAAATTACCGCTTTATAGTTCAGAGTTAAAAACAGCGGTATCTGTACGGTTAGAACAGCGCTATGCGGACTACAATTTAGTTTGAAGTCAATAACGCCTCATACCGCATAACCCTTTCAAAGCGCTATGCAAAACAACCGCGGCGGTCTTTTTGTCTTTACCTTATAGTCTTTTATATGTGTAACCGACAATGCTAATTTGCTAGTTGGGTACATTTGATTCACACGAATTACTCAATTTATACTGGAAATTGATCGGCCATTTTCCAAGCAAAACGCCAATATGGCCGTCTATACTGCAGATTGCCATGTGCATGGTCATATTTAATCATTTCACCCTCATTTTTGCAAAACTAAAGCTCATTTATAGCTCTTACTAATCTGTTGTAATTAACACATGCAAACAAAGTTATTACTCAGTTAGAATATACTATGATTTGTGAATTGAAATTCCTTTCAACTTCGTAATGCTGTTAGCAATAGCACTATATTGATCAAATGAATTGCATTATATTGAATTGAATTTATGTTCGAAATTTCATATACAAGTGAAATGATCAAAGGACGATAAACTGATTAACAAGTTTTCTATTTTTTTTTTTTTTTAACTATATAATTAGTGTCTGATCGTGATGTCTTTGCTTTTTGCGATCGTCCAAAACGTACAAAATTTCGCGTGACGAAGCAAAAGACTCGACAGGTTTGCGGTCAGAAAACAAAATAATTTATGAAAAACATTGAAGATTACAATGCAGTTGCGTAATCATTTTGAAAATCGTCATCGTGACAAGCACAGCCACAGGGCCCAAGCAGCATTGATTTCGCTCCATTATAATTAAATGATAAATTTATTCTATTAACTAAAGTCTAATTATATATTTTTGTGCACAACAATTTTTACAAAACGTACAAAAATATTAATTTACATGACGCGCATACATTATTGGTCGTCCGTATATGTAGCCCAGTCAAAGCAATATTTATATATTCACAATTTATAACTATACATTGATTTGTCCTCGTTTATATTCTCTTCATGTTATTATATATAACAGCGTCTTAAAAACGTTGTCATTGATTCGTTTTGAAAACGTTCACAGTCAAGACAATATATTGTCCTTGGAGACTAGATCGAGACCACTAGGCGCCATATAGCCTCGTTTAGGATTTTGAAACAGCTTAGTGACGCGTTTTACGCTATTTATAGACGAATACGTTTTCTGTGACAAGTTTTTATATGGCAAGTTCAATTTCAATTGCATAGTCATCTGTATAAGCAATTATGCCAAGTTTTTTATGACAAATAATATACTTATTCAAAACCTCGCATGCATGCCAGCCATTGAAAACGTGCACTTGCCATGGACTGAAAAATTGGCAAAGTACAAATTTTGCTCGTACAAAATACAAACTTTGACAAAGTAATGTGAGCACTTGCATGCTATTGGTCAGCGATCTATTGTTGCCTGAAAAGCCAAAAAATCAAAAACTTGTCCATATAAAATTTGTTGTAGCACACGGCGCAGTTAGCAAATAATATATGCCATATGAAACTTGTTACAGAAAACTAGCTCGTCTGCAACGGACTTTAGAACAAAGAAATTCATGATGCAATACAAAGAGAATGAATGATTTCTGAACCCAGGGGTTTCCCCAAAAGTTTTCCATCCCTAATGAGGCATTTTCCAATCTGAGGCATTTTCCAATCTATGTATTCTTCAACGTTGTAACCGTAAGAAAAATATACCACATCGTTTCGGCCAAGCGTTTGTAATGTTACTAAAACAAACTTCAGACATGCATCAATTGCAGTAATTCAATTCCCGTGGTTTGATTTGCATTGATGTCGTAGTCATGGTGTCGTCGAGCAAGCCGCGTCGTCGTTGCCATGCAACGCATGCCAACGGAAAGCCGCGGAGACTGGAGGTTGGTCGCATGCTAACAGCGTCTTGGCCGCAACGATAATCGGCATTTGAACATGTCTCCCAGATAGTCACAATTCAGTCAGCCAGGCAGGCGAAATGCATCGGTCGGCGTTTTCTACTGCGGTTACTATACTATACGGCGGACTATCGCGGTGCACAGTAATTAGAGATCTTAACATTTGACGTCTACGACAACAAACCGCGATAACCATAGTTTTATGTTTGCAACACTGTACTCGTCGAAAATGCAATATACACACTTCCGGAAAGTGCGTCACTTAATATAAATCCTCGTTTTCATATGCGCAACATCAGTTAAAGCATCACGAATCAATCACGAAAACAAGGCCTTAAGGTGGAGTAATAGGAGCAACAAAATTGCTGCAACTTGCAACAAAATCTGATTTCTACGCATGTTAATTGAAAATGTTTACACATACATTATAAATCACGAGGCAACATGTGTCAACATTTCTAGTTAACATGCGTTGAAAAAAGATTTTGTTGCAAGTTGCAGCAATTTTGTTGCGCGTATTACTCCAGCTTTCTGGCCAAGATAACTTACTTTCCGGAAGCGTGTATTAAATAAACTTGTACATAAATGTCCAATTACTAGATATAGGTCATGAAGTGATATATATGTTCAGCCTAACATTTTCGCCTGAAATTTGGGAAAACTCGGGTCAGTTTTGGATGTTCAACGTTTGCCGGGTTCACGTTTGACAGCCTCTATATATAGCCGTTCAAATACGAACTGCAAACAGCGAACAGAAAACATTGCTGTTGCTGTCGAGAGTTTTAAAAGCAACAAATGAAGACTTGTTGATTATAGGTGCATGACGGTTGAGTTTTAAACAGAGTATTCAGTAGGCTACTATTATTCATCCACACGCCATTTTTCAGCGGCTTCACGCCTCGCATCAGGCAGGATCTGATTTCGTACTCCACCCAGTACATTCGACGTCGCCTCAGTCGCTAATATGATCGGTTGAACAACAGCTGAAGGAATATGACGTAATACGCCCCCCACAGCGCCTGTCATACCTTTATTTTCATGTTCTTCTTTCGCTACTTGGACGATGTTTGACGCCGTCTTACCAAAACCCTGCAAGAGATATTCCTCCGTCATTTCTCTCAATAATACCAGATCACATTTTTGAATCGAGATTCTTTCTTTGTTTTTTTTCTTCAACAAGTTGGGCACAACGTAGAACAGTCATAATAGAGTAATATCAATTTCAAGGATTAAAGGTTATTGCGAAAAGCGCGAAAGCTTCCTCTCGCCCGAAAAATTTCCCCTATTTCAGCAAAATTTCCCGCAGACAAATCAAATATCGCCACTCTAAATGTCGATTTCACGTTAGGAACGTAGTCGTATTCCCGAATGTCTTTTTGAGCGAAAGGAAGGTCCGTGGTTTTGGTGACAGTTTCTAAGAGGGACGGAAACCGTCGAAGAACAAGTTATTTCTGTCATCACTTTCAAAAGTAGTTAAAACACCTACGGATATTGCAGCCTTAGTTTTTTCGCATTGATCATTTTGTACATCATTCGCTATACCTCCCTGCCCCCAGCCCACCCCGTCCCTCCTCTCTGGCCACTGGCCCATTCCTTAATGGAGGTTGTTGTTTCAAAATATATAGCATGTCATTTGGACTCAACATTGTATGATTTGGGGAGGAAGTCAGTTATCCATTTTTGCGCATCTGTGCCAACATTTATGAGAACAAAAGATCTGTTTCAAAATGTGTGAAGAAGAAATAGGACTCACCTCCGTGACAACATTGTATGCATTTGCAATTCCTTGTCTTAGATCCGCTGGCTCAGAATTAAGACGACGCTTGACAATTTTACCATGTGAGCCGGGGGGAATATTTTCCGTAGGGCTGACTATGTCATATGCCACCTCGGCAGCTCCCTGTAGAAAAGTAGGAGGAAATAAATAAGGACTGAAGCAAAAGGGGAGTACAACGGGGGAGTAAAATTTAAAAAAATAATGGCAATTCGAATACCAAGTTAGGTTGCCGAGTTGGCGACCTGGCGCTTGCTCATTTCAACCTCTGGGGGTTATTATTAATTAAATTAATGTATCGATCCGATGATACGAGTAACGGTCTCTCTTAACACAAACGTAAGCCTGGTCAATGTTACTGTAGTGAAGTTAAACTTTCACAATCAACACGTATATATGAAATTTCACGCGCAAAGAAGGCTAAAAGACGCTACAGTGCCTAATAACTACGAGTGAGTCCATCAGTCAAAAATAAGAGCCATCTTTCAAGCGTAATTTTTATGGGGAATAGGTAATTTTTAAATTGGTTGACATCGTGTGGAAAGAGATTATTTAAGAATAGAGTGGGCATTGCAGGAAAAGTTCAGGCAAACGAAAGGGACAAATTGAAGTTTGCTAATGGGAGCAAATTTGAGTTATATCCGGATGTAAAACCGATGGATGTGGGTGTGCCGAAGTCATGAAGAGAACACCGCTCTTCAACATCGAGAAAAAAACACTTTAAAACATTTCTACCGTTCCAAAACTTGTTTTACATTTATTTATTTTTTTTTTTATTTTTTTTTTTTTTAATTTATTTTTTTTATTAGTTTTACAATAAGAAATTGAAGGCACAGACAACAGGACTAATAAAGTCCCAAATTAAGTCCTGCCATTTTAAAGTCCAAGTATTTTTGTTGATTTTTAGCTTTTACCACTTGCTTCAACGGTGCTAAAACTGAAAAATTGTTTCATTTTCGCAGTTGTATTATTTTCGCAAATTCCCGCTCCTCCTATATTAACATCGCGGCTTAGTCAATCAGAGAGAGTTATTTGCCCCCATAAGGAAGCTTCAATTTGTCCCTTGATTTTCCCCGCTCTATTCTTCTATAATCTCTATGGTCGTGTGTTCATTAAAACTTACATGAACGACTTGCACAAGTTTATTGGTAAGTTCAATAAATGCCATCGCTGACGAGGTGGTAAATGAACTCGCACCACGTTGCAATCCTCGCATGATTCGACCATCACGACGATACTGTTCCACAGGTAACCAAAACAAGTCTTTCACTCCTTGAACCAGCTGGACGAATGAATATGTCGGACCAACTCCTCCAAGAATTCCTAAGATATTCAAAATATGATTATGAGCATTACCAATACAGTAAAAAATTATACTGTATATTGGGTTCATTAGGAAATAGTAATAGATTGGGGCATTAAAAATAGTAAGTTAGCAAATTATTCAGCTTCATTTGGGGGCAATCACAAGCGCAGGTATTATTCCTACACTGTTGAGGGAAGCAAGCAATACTGTTTCAAGACGGGCACACGCTACATCGCACAATCATGACGTGAATGTAAAAGGTGGAATGGCATGTGCGGAATGGCATGTGCGGAATGGCATGCGCGGGATGGGTTATGGTTAAAAAAAGTCTCAAAATTTGCTCATGCCATTCTGCCTTTTGCATTCACCGACAATCATTGCCCTACGCTTGTTGTATATATGTGGATTAGACATCTCGTGTTTAGTGTACATATAAAATTTCTCAGTGATATAGATATGACATTTCTTAGTAGTTTAGTGATGCAGAGAACTTGGGTTGGCAGTGTTTCCATCCTTTAGTAAAGATAAAATGCAAGCACTTTTCCAGGACTTTTTTCAGTAAATTCAAGGGCCCGGCACTGGAAAAATCTTTGAAAATGGCACGGATTTTGCTTTTCGAAATACTGCACCATCACTTTTCCCAAATTGGAGGCTACGTACTACAGGTATTTGTATTTACCAGGAATTTGTCTTTTCTTGATATCATTCGCCCACTCGTTGAGAGCGTAACTAAGAACTCGATCAAACCCCATCAGACCACTTCTATGACATAACCGTCTTAAAGTTATTTCAGAACAGTTCAACTGCGCGAATGCAAACAACACTCCAGCCAGACTTCTCTGAAAGAATAACGAAATACAAAACATTAGCATAGCACACTTATTGAAGCACACTGAAAGATATACTTGTCGCAAGTTTGCCTCAGATTTTTTCTCTAGCTTTATTGGGCGAGTAAAGGTGAAATTATTAATGACGTTTTTGAAGAAATGACGTCTTGGAAAAGAACTTTGCGAAAGTCTAAATAAAAGGACTGCAAAGACACTTGGCCAAGCAGCAATTATTTACATTTTTGGAAAGTGCTGTTTCAAACGTCGGCCTATGTCTGAAAGTATTATTTTCAGTGGAGCAGCTTTGGAAACAATTGAAGGTAATGGCTCTCGTGTTACAAGCTTGAAAGAGTTCTTATGAAACTTGTGGATTTTTATAGTTTGAAAGTGAAAGTTCACTTTGCACTCAATAGGAAAACACAAGCGTCTAGCAGAGGATTGGCTAAAAACATCAATCTTGATGACATACAGTTTTTCTCGGTACACGTCGTTTTCTGTACTTCTTGACCTATATTCAATTCTGTACCTTTGCTCATCGAGCAGGTCATGGTTCAGGGTGCGACCAGGTCTGGCAGGGAATGGGTGCTCATCAAGCTGGTCGTGGTTCAGGGTGCGACCAGGTCTGGCAGGGAATGGGTGCTCATCAAGCTGGTCATGGTTCTAGGGTGCGACCATAGCTCCCTCGAATGATTACGGCACTAGTTTCGAGTCATGCTTGACAATTTCACAATCATGTTACCATCTCATTTTGTCTCCATTTTATTTTTGTTTTGCAATTGCCTTCCACACAAAAAAGGATTTGATAAGGAAATTGGGAACTCCCTGTCAACACTAAGAGGGGTGCCACTTTCCTAGTAAATGCATCCGTGATTAAAGTCTGAAACAATGAAGAACGATGAACGAACCTGTCCCATATCCATGCCGTGTTTTCCATGATAATCAAGTCTGATGGGGACATCAGGAGAGAACTCCACCAGTCTGAAGAATATAGGCGTGTCTTGGCTTGATGACGAAGACGGGGGTGTTGACGATAACGGTGGTTCGTCCAAGTCTTTTTCAACAGCAATATCTTGTGAAGAAGGCGCAATAGCAAGTTGAGGCTCGGCTTCTTGCGGGTCTACACATTTTTTAAGTAAACAAATAAATAAGAAAGTAAGTAAGTAGGTAACACTGGGGAAAAATGTGAAATCCATACTATGAAATTTGCAATTGCACTACTAAATCAACAGTATATCCATACTATTTCGATACCATATCCATGGTATCGAAATATACAATTATTATGGATCATCAAAATCCATTCTATTTCCAATAAAGGTCCATCCAATTTCCATTCTATGACCTTCAATGGATTTTCAATTTTTTTTTCCAGGGCTATCTTGAGTTTTATAACTAATTAGTGTCTGATCATGTGTGCTAATCATCATTACTTGAAGCTGAGAGTTCAACCTGATCGATTCCCTTAGCCACCTCATGACTCATGTCTAATCACGGTGCACAGCTTGGGTGGAAGGATCAGCTAGGGGCTAATCCCAACCCACCCTGCCAACATTCCCTGTAAGGGGATACCGGGGTCCCCGGCGAAAACCCACGACTTTCGGTAGAGCGTTGACTGACACTTTCCATGTGAGTGTCGTGAGTTCGCCGCAGCTAGAATCGAACACACGATCAGGGGTGAAAGATGATATAAGATTGACGGTATTTATACTGGAAAGGAATGATCCACGGATCTGGATGACGTTGGGCAAATAATAGATTGTTCGTACGACAATTTGTTTGCGCACGATACGGATATAGAACTATCTGTGTAGTTCATTTCCATGGATAATCCAAACAATCAGGAAATGGCTGCTTAAAATATATCCCCTGATCTCTATTCAATATTGTACTGTACTCTAGCTACAAATGCATCTAGGCCACTGTCACATACAAATCACGTTCACCCTACTTTAATTAAGGAAAGGAGGCATTATTGAATGCAAAATAACTGAAAACTTACTTGTATCTTCAGCACTTGAAAGATCTTTACAAAAATTGATGATAAACTGAAGGGTATCCTAAAAATGATATACAAATACAGTCGTAAAATAAGCTTCATGAACTCTTCTGCTGTCGAGGAGTCAGTTCCAGTCTTAGTCAAAGCCCAAAACTAAAACAGCAAGGTCTAGTAAGAGCTCAGTATTTCTACAGACGGAAATTGGATTACTATATATCAATAGTCAAAGTCGCATTTTTCTAGTGTTTTATTGGTTGAGAGCATATCACGCGAGTGTGACGAAATTAGGCTGTCTCCCTCGCAACAGCGCGAGAGGGAGATAATACGTTATCGACCGGCAAACAACAAAAAAAATCACGTGCGCCATCACGTGAAGATGCGACCTTTGGACATGCCTACACGTAATTAAAACTTTCGCTTCAAGTAACTGCAGTGTAGCCAGTGTTTAATATAACGTTTTAACAATAAAATATTTCATGTATTTACGTTCATTTGTTCTTTAATTTGTTGTTTCTTTGACTATTGATATATAATAAAACACTTATTTACTGAAACCTCGGGAAAGCAGTGTGTTTTGTGGACCCTCGACCGTCGATGTTTCCCTCGGCTTCGCCTCGGGAAACATCGACGGTCTCGGGTCCACAAAACACACTGTTTCCCTCGGTCTCAGTAAATAAGTGATAAATATCCTGGGAACCCTTACAAAAACTCCACATAAGATATCACATGTGAAGATGCCTTTTTTCATGTGAAGTGTTCCAAATCCACATATAAGATAATAATTTCATATGTGAAATTAATTTTCATTTACGATCCATACATGTGAATGAATATACGGAAATGAAATTTTATATGTGAAAATTCTAAATTTCACAAACGAAATGAGCATTTTCACATGTGAAATGTTCCATTTCAGGGCTCCACTTAAACCCACACATCCCTGATTTCATCATCATCAGATTTCACATGTGAAGTTATATGTAAATTTTCCATATTGAAAAAGCCCACAGTGTTTATCATAAAACTGCTTAATGCAAAAGTCGAACAGCACATGCGTTAAGCCACTGTTTCAACAATAGCCCTGTGGTGTAGGATAAAATGACCCCGCCCCCGGATCACTAAACACATTTGAGTGGGCTGATAGATCTTTTTTAATTAATTCACCTGGTCAATGTTGAGTCGTAAAGGTTTTAAAGACACTCTTAAACAACCTTCTTGTGAACTGAGACCGTCATCGGGTCGAAGACCAAGCATTTTCATGGAAATCTAGGGAAAACAGAAAAACACAAAAATAGGAAACTTTAAGTTTTTGTTTTTGCTTTTAGAGTGTATTATTTAATAGTAGTCAAACAACTATTTACAGCAATAAATATTCTACATAAAGCAGTGACATACCATATTCGAGTGTGTCTGTTTTGGTCTTGCCTCGGTGGAATATTGATACAACAATTTATTGATTTGTGATGATGACAATCGATCACGTATTTCAACATCTTGAATAAGCAACACTTGTCTCCAAGCTTGCTTTGTTTCTGCTGGATATTCTTCGTATTGAAAACGCACCTGGATTGTGGAAACACAACAAAATCAAGAGAATCCTCAATAGGGAAATGGAATGCAAGGGATATAATGATCGTATTGGAGATTATAAGACGTTGCGGTACGAGAGATGGAATATAATCGTCGGATCTTCGGGAAAGAAGCGAGATGGTAAAACATTTGAGCACAGGATTCGGCATTTATCAACGTTATTGAAGTCGCTCATTACTGGCAACAATGTATGCTGGAGAATTTAAGCTTCCCGTTTGAGGGCAACCGCAAACGGCAGAGTCAAATTTTCTTGGCAGAATTTTCGTTTGTCATCTTCACTTCATAAGCTATTTTGTATACTTGTACATGGTGATAGTATGATGTACGTTTTGGTCAGTGGGAAACACCACGCATCGAAAGCTTTGCAAAAATACATCTAGAGGTTTCGATTTGACTACCACTACCGCTACCATTAAGGGACCATTAACCAATCAGATGTGTTGGATATATCCGATTAGCCAATCAGATGCGTACTAAGTCAGCGAGAGGTAGTGGCAGTGGTATTCTTTGCTTGCGCATGACGTCACTACGATTCATTAAGCGCCATCTTAGTTGACTTTAAACTTTCGTTAAGCCGTTTACAGCGAAGTAGTTGAGTTAATTTAACATTTTTCTGGTTTGTTTTGAAAACATGTTGCTGTATTATGGATAGTTTACGGTCTTTGGCTCAAAACGACAAAGAAGGAAGAATATGAATCTTATAGTTGCCACGTGTGTTTTGAAAAGCAACCAATATGGCGTCGATTGCAAACGAGCAATAGTGGAAGTCAAATCTGAACCTCTCTAATACACGTGGTATTTCCACAAACAAAAAATTTGGCTTTGTCAAGGTTTGGTCACTTTTTGGATGTGACGTCATGCTTGCCGAATGCTCGCCCAAAATTGACCAAACCTGCTAAAGCCAGCAGAGCAAAAGTGATGGGTCTAGGCTATATCTTCGCTTCATCTTTTGTTTATTTCAAAAGAATCATTATACATTACAGTTTTTAAATAACAGTTTATTTACAGTATTTAATGTACAGTATTTCTTTTTCCATGGCGTTTGTCGTTTGACGTATGAACGCAAACGTACCTGTAAACTGCATATTAAGCTGGGGAGATTGATTGTAGTAAAAAATGTCGAAAGATTACTTACCTTATTCAACTGGACTTCGACTAAAGTATTAATGTCACGTGACTCTCCTCCATTCGTTTTCCAATTCACTTTAGTACTGGAACTTCTCTTCTTGTTACCATGGTTACCGATCACGACAGGATCATCGTCTACGTCATCATCTTCATGAAACGTTCGACCATTTTCTGCCCAAAATTTCCTGCAAGTGTTCAAAAACAAAAGATCCAAACTATCGTCAACACAGAGGTGGAACACGTTGTTATCACCTTGTTACAAGGTTGATGACGGTAACAGGCTTGCTACAACATGATAGCAACTTGTTCCAGAATTGTCAAAAAATGAGAACAAGCAATGCGAACACATCTTGTTGACAAGCTGTGGGATTCCTACAGCAACAATAAAAATTTACCTAATTATACGTAATATGCTTAGGTTTTTGAAGTGGGGGAAACATATTAATGTAAACAGGGGCTGGGAAATGTGTCTACACCTCTGGTCGAGTTTTATATAATTTTGAGAGTTGCATGGAGTACTAACCTTTCACTCCTCCTGTTGTGTTTGTTCGTTTGAAAATCACTTCCTCCATAAATTAGCCAAAGAATAGACATTTCTTTCACTGTGTAGACCAACAGTGGAGTGGGGTAATTACTGGGGGGCTTCAACTGGTCTACGCCACCGACCTTGTGAAAAAAGATAATATTAGAATCCACAGGAGAGGAGTGTTGCGTCCACAAAAGTATTGCACGTTTCCAAATCCAAAAGGAAGAAAGAATTCCACATGCAATGGGGAATCATTATATAAAGCGTACACCAGAATCTCCTGGCAGTAACACTCGGACTAATAATCGAATGTTCTTTACACTGGTTCTCTAGCAATAACATTTCGAAACCATCCTCAGAGATTCGAAAGCTAGTTTCATACGGCAGAGTAGAACGAAGACTTCGTTGTCCAATGCGGGAATCGTACTCGCATCTTCGTGTTTTCTAGAGCTTGGAGAACACGCAGTGTTTCAATTCTATTTGAAATTTTTCTCAATTCTATTTCAATATTTAACTTAATATGCTCAATGGTTGGAGCGACTGTCTAGAAACCCGAAGATGCAAAGTGTCAGAATAATATAAAACAAACAATTTTTGAATTGGAGTCTGCAATCACGGCTTCAATTTTTGAATTGCAGAATAATTAGATGCGCTCGATCTAGTGTATATAATTAAGATATCTATGGTATGAATTAACTAGCAATAGGCAGTATAAGCGATACGTGAAGGTTTTCCCAAAGAATGGATTCAATCGAAAAACTTACAGGCACAGTGAAATGATCAGGAATTATTTTGATTTCATCACAAAATGAAGTCACTTCCGGTCCATTACAGACAACCTGAAATAACAAAATTTTAATTTCAACTTTCATGCGTTTGTGCATCACGGCTAGAAATCACCAGCATCACCTCCAAGTGTAATATTGACATGGTTTAATTAAGTTACTGCCCATCATGCATTTCAGTTCATTCCTAATATGGTATTTAAAAAGAGAGTCAAACAGACAAACCAGACAGTACTACAGTGCGGTGACCTGGAACAGGCGTAAAACAGGTGCATCACAAGTGCGAAGAAAAACATTTTTTAATATGATTCCGAGAAAACTAACAGACTGACAAACTCACGCAGCGAGTAAAAAACGATTCCAAACTTCGCAATACAGTAAAAACTAACCTCTGTAAAAATATCGAAAATGCAAGATGGGCAGTAACTAAACTAGACCAGTGTTACCTAAATACTTTGACAGACTTTGTTCTGCAACTAGCGATGTGCACAAGTGGCAAACGATTTCCTTTATTTCCAGATTTTGCGATTTAAAACACCGCGTAATATAATTTCCCGTCTACTGTTGAAACAAAGGGAATGGAATGGAATGAAACATGTCCCTGCATGACTTAAACAAAAATCATGTCCTTGATTTAAGCAAATGGTACAGCAGGTTCTGCAAAGGCTAGATGGAGGTCATGTACCTCTTGTTCTTTCTCGGGGTGATCTAAAATCTCAAAATCGTCATCAGGCCACTCGTCATCAAAGATTTCGTTGCTCGGGGTGTGACTGCCTTTTTCGTGAGATGATGTAATTTGAGATTCGTCGGGAAAATGAAAGACGTCTGTCTTCGACTGACTACGAGCTTTGAATTCCTATAGAGAAACGTAAGGTAAAGTAAGTTACCAACTATCATAGTATCTTGATGCTGTGAGATTTAAGCCCACGAGCAAATTTTCCTTGAAATGTTTCCTTGACAAGTTTACTTTCTCGTGTGTGGGGTCAAGAAGTTTTCCTTCACAGATTTCCCGTGGCAAGTTTTGTTGCTAGCGGAATGTTGTTAAAACCATTATCTCACGTCAAGGCCTCCTTTTGTTCAGACCTGGAAATAATTCTAGCCTTTCTTGGATCCTAGGCCAGGGAGGAAATATTTTTTTTGAAAACACTATTATCAAAATAATATTAATTAATTCTATGTTACTAATGTTAGAAACTTAGTTCTTAGCATATCAAATTAAATTGTATAATAAATGCTTATATGGTGTAATATAGTTTATTACAGTTGTATAGTTATAACTTATAAGAGTTTATTACTACCTAATTTGACATTTTCAAGTTGTGTGATAAAGAAATTTTTTTTGACCAATTTGTGCATCAGGGGCCGGTTGTATAAAAACGTAGTTAGCGCTAACTGTAGTTAGCGATAATCACTGTAGTTAAATCCTTAACTGTAATTAGTTAACTACATGACTTAACTGCGTTGCACAAAACGTAGTTAGTCGGATAGTTAACTAATCACGTAGTTAACTGTGCGTGGGGCTTGCGTGGGGTGTTTAAACACAAAATTACATAAAGTAAGCAGCGAGTAACGACCGCTGACACACATTTTCAACATGATTGTGGACACGTATTTTGCAAATAGGCGGGAATTTTATTCAAAACAGTGAAAAATAAACAAGAAAACAGGGGAAAACCGCCTCAAAAATCATAAAAGAAAGCAGTTTTTCCTTGAGATGTCTACGGTAAACCAAGGTATAGCTGTTTGGCAATAATTTATCAGTGTTTCTTGGTGTAATGGACCATACTTCGTCTTCGAGAAATCGTCCTGTGCAAAAATATGTTCTGTTTTCGTAAAAACACCAAAGCGATAGCGTTTGAAGAGTTTATATTGTCAGGAAACATTCACAGGGAAGATAGCGATTGAAAATCTCAGGTAAGCGTTGCTTTTCATTATTGTTTTACTGAAAAATGTTGTTCACTCCTATACAAACGCCATTTTTAACTACGTTTTGGACAGTTAACTATACCCTAGAGCATAGTTAACTTTAACTACTTTTTAACTGCAGTTGAGGCTAACTACACTTTTATACAACCGGCTTAACTACGTGATTAAAGTTAACTACTTTTTAAGGCTTTTTAACTACTTTTTAACTGCAGTTAGCGCTAACTACGTTTTTATACAACCGGCCCCAGGTGATATCACTTAATATATCAGCATTTTCAGTTCTAAGAAAATTTGGGAAATTTTTAACCTTTTTGTTGATTTATATGCATAATTTTTTTTAAAGAAATTTCAAAATTTTCTGCCAAAGAAAATTGAAAATCCTTTCTAGCAAACAAAAAATTTTCTAGGAACGTTGTTCCCAGGATCCACCACTACAGTAGGTCTGTTTTTGTTTGCCAAAACCATAACAAGTATTTCTTGTGCACTTGTCAAGTTTTCCTTGGCGGCCGCAAACACGAACAACGTTTTTTGTCCAAAAGCTGGCATGACAAGGTTTGGAACAGGGCTCCTCGGTAAGGAAAAATTGTCAACATTTCGCCATACACACGAGCGAAAAAACTTGTCAAGGAAAAATAGCCCGTCTGTACACGGTTTTAACTGATCTGAATAGTCGATCTCTCGCCTAAGTCAAAATTATTTAGTACTTTTAGAAGAAAGGTTTATTTTCTCCGGACCCGCAACATGATAAGGAAAACAAGTTTGTGGGATGTTAAGAAAATAACTGAGGACCCTTTTCAATAAGGCCATGCCATGCCACATGAGGATTTTTTCTGCAACTTGCAACACAATTTTGGACACAGAGCAATGATATTTAAAAAGTAGTCACAGAGAAATGTGAGCATGGCCCGCATTCTATTCTGTCGACGTTTTCTTTAATTACATAACATACTCTTGGGATATGAAAAATAAAAGAAATTGGAATGAAAAATGTCGGCAGAATAAACCGTAGACCATGCTCACAATTTCCCAGTAACTACACATAACATCGCTCTATATCAGAAATTGTACGGCAAACTGCAGCAAAAATTACCTCGTGTAAAATGCACATGCAGGTACAGTATAACACTGTTTGTTGTTCGAAAACTGTGGCGTCATAAGGCAACGGAGAACGGTTTGCGTATGGCCATAACAGATTTCTGTGTGCTCTGTTCTAGCCCAACCGTACCAGACAATCTGCCTATTGTGGTGTTGACCACGACTACCATGGTTCTCACTAGAGTTGGAATAAGAGGCTTTCTGAAAGAGGAAGGCGGCTTTTGGTGGAGCGGGTCCGAGGGCGTTACCCGTGAAAATTGTGATACTCATAAATGCTCTGTAATGGATGCTCTGCAGTAGATACTCTTCAATGCTCTGCAATGGATCTCCAGCAATGTTGGAATGCTCTTCAGGAGATTTCGTCATATTACCCAAATAGTTAACGAAAACTATCGTTAGGTTATAAAAGCATGAATTATTGACCTTTCCCCTGACGTTTCTGTGGCAAGTAGGAAATATTCTGAGTGATAATTTTGAGAATTGTCTACGCTATCGCCGGGTGCCGGTTTCTGTACTGGGAACCCTGGCGACTACTTCTCACATTGTTGATGTATAATACCTCATTCCCACCATCAACAAAGTCGTGCATATCATGAGAACTTTCATCCATGGCGTCTGACATCAAATCATGAAGACATCCATCTTCTGAAATGCGTTGCTCCACAGGCGAGTCGTCGAACATTTCTGTCTGTTCCTGAGACGAAAACGATATGAGAGACCTTAAGCTATCGCATCCAAAAACATGTACATGTAAGGCGGCAAATGAGTCCCGTGTTTAGGCTACAGCAAGGGTTTTTTCAGGGATTTTTTAGAGCCGTTAAACGGCCCCAAAAACTCAATCTTGAATTGAGTTTTGGAACTCAATCTTCTCACCAAAGTTTCAGTGCAGTAAAAATGAAGTTGTTTGAGTTAAATTTGTGACGTGTGGAAATTAGTTTTCAGTTGGAAACCCGACAATTAAAGAAAAAATGGCTGGAATTCATCTCACAACACAAGAAAAACTATGCATTCGCCATCCTTAACCAGTTTATAGTGTCCCACAGTGCCCCTGCATGCTTTAACACATTCCGTCTCAACTACATTTATTGAGTACAAGTGTCAGCCATCCGGTAGGGGGGGGGGGGGCATCCCAGCTGTTCAGCTAAACTCAATCTTCTCTGCAAAAACGGACCCAAGAGAAAATCCTGAAGAAAAAAATCCTGTACAGTATCTATTCATTGCAGTAACATGACGAGGCCAAGTGGGTAGTTGTAGGAGATCAAAGCTTCAAGAGGTTTATGTAAAATAAAAATATTATTATACTTGTTGTGTTGGTGTAGTGTACTCAGGTGAATAAGATGCTTGTGATGTTACTCTGAGTGTATATCCACACCGGGCAGGCTTGGAAAATATGCCTGGCCACGGTGGGAATCGATCAATCGAACCTACGACCTTTGGAATACCACGTAGCTCAGTTGGCAGAGCATTGGGCAAGTATTCCAAACGTCGTAGGTTCGATTCCCACCGTGGCCAGGCATATTTTCCAAGCCTGCCCGGTGTGGATATACACTCAGAGTAACATCACAAGCAAAAATATTATTTTTAGCATAACTGTTTTACTCTTTACACAACGTGTTCATGGATATATCTCAGTCTACTCATGGTCGTAGAAAACGTAAAGGGCCTGTTAATAGACCTTTCCCCTTATAACCAAAATTTTGATCTAGGCAAGTTTAGACAAATATTTCATCACAGCTTGAAAGAGCATCACAAAATTTGTAATATTCCAAAGTTTCGTTGCGAAATGTTGTAAAATGAGGAAAATAGAGCCTTGCAAATGCAATTTTCAGTCACTTTGCATTACAAACGGGAAATTGCAGCCCCGACACCCGAATCGGATGTCAATTTCCCGTTTGTAATACAAAATGACTGAAAAACGGCAAACTTCGCAAGGCTATATTATCCGCATTTTGCAAGATTTTGCAACAAAACTTTGGAATATTACTAATTTTGTGATGCTCTTTCAAAGCTGTGATAAAATTTTTGTCTAGATCGAAATTTTAGTTATAAGGGGAAAGGTCTATTTACTGTAGGGGAGTTAATCTATCTTGCAGGGACTTGTACATGGAAATTTCAAGTGAAACTTTTGTACATTTATTAAACCTAAACAGGAGCAGTTGCGAAAAATACAACTAGGTGATGCCATTGCATGGAAATTTCGAGCGCAATTTTTATACATTTATTAGATGTATCCTGGAGTTATTTTGAACCTAATTTTACTCCACATTTGCAGTTAAATTTGGTTCACAATAACTCTACTGGGAGTTAAATTAACTCCTTGGAATGAACAGGATTCGTATTATACAAATAGAGCGTTGTTTTTATCCTTATACTGTATATGCACCCTGTCAATATTTTACAGTTCAGCTTAGTGCTAGGGCATTCATATTCTAACATACGTTATTTCAATAGTTTGGTTTTTTGGGACACCCTGTACAGTAACATGATATTGTTTATGCACAACCATTTGGCATCAGTAATTTCACAATTTTCGAAAGCTTATTGCTCGAAAGGTATTCATGTAAACGTCTTCATACTTACTAAATAGTGTACTGAAAAGTTACCTGGATACCTCCATACACATATACACACCCTAACCCTAACCTTAAACCTAACCCCAACCTCTAACCCTAACCTAATCCCTAACCCTAATACCTAACCCTATCCTATATTGGTGCGCGAAACATGGAACGATAACCCTAATTTTGACGTGGTCTTTCTAGTGATTTGGTTCATTTCGTAATTTGGGCACTTTTTAACACTCGTCCCCAATCCACTCATCAACTTCGGAATGGCTACCATCCTCGTCCCCAAGGCCTCTCGGCCGCGTGCGTCCTCCCTAGGCCCTGGGACACACGGAACCGGAAGTGCAAGAAAACTTGCAGTAGTTTCTAAAGCGCATGCTCTTCAATTGGGACATTTTGGCACCCGTAAGAACTTTCACAGTGAAGTATTAAGAAGAAACGAAGTATTTGTGTTGGCATATGTTGATAGAATAATTTTCCCCAGCGAAAACTGCTCAACTTCTGCGAAATAGCAGTTCTCTGAGAAGCCAATCAGATCTCTTCCTTTAGTCGTCCATCCCAGAGCCTAATTTTCAACGAGTGACCGAGTGAAAATGGCTCTGGGGACGAGAATGAATGGCTACTGTCTTGTTATCGTCGCTACCTACACTGGCACAGACCGTTCGATATTATGCTATGTAATTAATGACGTCAATAATTTCGCCTTTACATCAAAATGATCTGGGAAACAAACACTTACGTCACCATTCAGAACATCATTAGATTGAATTCGAACGGTGCTGTCCTGCGGAAAATCACCATCACTCACAATGTAACGGACGATGTCGAGAACTGCCGACAGCGAGTCGGAACAGGTTCGGACGTGAACGATGTTGTTAGATAAAGTCAGGGTACGCCTTGGAGAGTTCTAAAGAAAAGGAAAATTCGGTGCACAGAAGGTCATTATCTATGCATCCCTATTGCCTATTGCGGAAAATCATAAACCGACATGAGATAACCTCAATATAAACATAACCAATTTACCTTTTCGTCATCATTTACAGTGTTTAATGAAAGCTCAAATAAATCCACATCTGCTACCGATATATAGTCTAGACAGCAAAGTAGAAATATATCATTGTAACTTAAAGTTAGGTTATTTGGAACACGAGTTTTACACCCAGTCTGCAGAAATTTACTGTAAAAGTTGAATCGAGCGGGATTTGAACTCGCACCTTCGGGATTCCAATCCGCCACTCTACCTATTGAGCCAACAGGGATTGCGGGTGGGTTTTATATATTTTTATTTACTAGTTGAGTTGGGTTTCTTTGATGTACCGCGGGATGTAAATTGATGAAACCTTGTTCGAAAACCTCCTCAACTAGTAAATAAGTCGGTTATAAACCTCGAACTTGGGATATAAAGTCATATATTTGCATATACTTTGCAGTCAATAGATGACTTACAGTCTATCCCACGAAGAACTATAGTCAAAGGAAAATGAAGAGAAAATTTCCAACATGATTTGGTACACTGCTAAAGTGTAGCTCAATTTGTTCGCAAGCCGCAGCTAAAATAAGCCCAGGGTTGAAAGCTAGGCTTAAATAGCTAGAGCTAGGCCGCAACTTGACTGTTTATACGAGTCGTTCGCGACTTATTTAAGCCGTGGCTTATTTTCGCTTGTTAAAATGGCCCTAAATTTAGGGTTATTTATAGGAGTAAAATACCAATCACATAATGTAAACACCGCGCAAAAAGAAAGTTGCCCCCTAAATATAAATGATTACCTGATAATCAAACCTAGCACTAATTAGACCTTTTGTAGTTTGCTTAATGCTGTGTGAAGAATGGGGTTATTCATGCTTTAAAGAATGACTTAGCCTCCATTGAATACAAAAATACCCAATTTCAGAATTAACAAGAACGACCTTATTTAAATTTCACAACAACAATAATGTTTCATCAATGATTTAATAATGAGTGTAATCACCACGGTTCTGGATCACCTCAAGACATATATACCCCCATTATTAAATCATTAATGAAACAATTTACTGTTGCACAGTACGTTGAAATTTAAATAAAGTCATTCTGACTTGTTAATTTTGAAATTGGGCAATTTTGTATTCAATGGAGGCTAAGTCATTCTTTAAAGCATGAATGACCCCATTCTTCAAACAGCATTAAGCAAACTACCATAGGTGTAATTAGAGGTAAGGTTTGATTATCAGGTAATCATTTATTTAGAACTTATGATGATATACTTAGGGAGAACTTTCTTTTTGTGCGGTGTTTATTTTAATTAAAGTCACGTGTTACGAATGAGATAAATCTTTCATTACCATTTTCGCTAACATATAGCCGTCATTCGCCTACCTTTGACAACGTTCATTGTTTCATCTTTGTTGTTTGAAATAAGAAGGACCGCGTTATCGATTATAAATCTAAGTAATAAAAAAATGCAAAATAGTGAAATACTACAACATGAATGAACATCCTGTATGAATTATGATTGTGTGACTTCTGTTTACGACATCATACCTCAAAATAGAAGTCTTGGAATCAAGTGTAATATTACTGGAAATACTAAAGCCTTCGATTGTGATCAACACTTGATATGGAATATGCAGTGGTCTAAATAGGAATTGAGAAATTTGGATTAGAATAGAATAGGATATATAGAACAGTACAGAATATAATCGAATGCAACGTGTAATGTTATGTAATACAAATTATACAATACAATAGAAGGGAACACAACACAATATAATACAATAGAGTAACAATATAGTAACAATAGAATATAATAGAATTATAAAATAAAACAGAACACAATAGAATACAACAGATTACAATAGAATAGAGTAACAAAGAAAAACAATGCAACGCAATATACTCAACACAGCCTAACATATTTCTTACTCAAGGGTGGATTTCCATTTTTTTTTTAAAGGAGGTTGGAAAAATTTCTAGTGGGATGCAAGCGGCACCACTGAGCGAGCTTCGGCAGGGGTTAGGCGTTAGGGTTAAAGGCTTTCACAAAAACATTTTGGTGGGGATAACACTTTAATAGGGTTAAAGAGATTCTAGGGGGGTAACCACCCCTAACTCCCCCCAGTAAATCTGCCCATCTTTCTTACCTATAATACAAAGCACAATCCCAGAAATGAACATGTAACATTGTGACAACCACAGGAGGAATGAAACCAAGAACTTCTTCGTCTGTCACACCGAAGTAATCAATCATCTATAATGGACAAAATCATGATACACAAACACTAAGAATTTTTAAAAGAATTTACGGAACCGAACTACAGTGTGTCACAAAATAAGAATCCATTTTAAATTCATTATTTATATGCGTTGCAAATAACCTCGTAGGATAGAATGCTAGCTGATAATACCCATTTGTTACCTGAAGTATCCACATCTGTCCTTCATTGACCATACGATGACGTAACGTGCCACCTGACAACGACAATGCCACAACAATGTCCTAAAAATGGGCAGTTCGATAAAAATAATGTTAGAGGCTTTTGTGGATAGAAATATACGTATATTCCACACCTAACCATGAGTAGTTACGAAAGTTTATAAGTAGTGTAAGCACTCCAGGAGGCAGATCTGGTGGCGGTGATTGGGGTGCTGATTGAGCTTAAAGCCCTTGAATGACATTTTGGTGTCCGAGTTCACTCATTTTCATCCGTGAGAAACGCAAAATCTCCGGGAAAATTGCTAGTGTGCATGAACCAGGCTTTAGTCATGGGTTCAGGCAGCGACGGTAGACCACGTGTGGGTCAGAGGGAGCTTAGTCAACAGACTAAGGCACCAGATTGTAGTCTTTCTTGATAATTTCACAATCGTGTTACTACAGTATCTACTATCTCGCTTTATCTCTATTTTGTCTTTGTTTTTGTAATTGCCATTCGACATAAAAAATAGATTTGATAAGGAAATTGGCATCAATCACCCTTCTTGCACCCTCCTTTGCCAAAATTAGGAGAGATGCCAAACCCCCTATATCCCCAGTACATCCACCTCTCCTCGTGACATAGCAAATTATTAACACCAAGGCTGTGATAGCTCTTGGCACCTGGACTTTCTAGCACAGCAGCCAGTAATCTGTATCGGAATCGCATGGTCAATTCGCAGCTGTTAACGGTCGGGGGGGGGGATGTTCGCCAGGTACTGTAGCTTAACCCTAGGTTAACCTAAAATTCAAAGCAAACTTCCCAACAGTAATATTTTATTAGAAATATTTTGTCATAGGATTCAATACTTCTTCTCGGAAATCTTGTCTGGATGAACGTGAGTTTTCTCCTCTGAAGTTTTGAAACAAACAGATGTGCAGAAATACGTACTAAAACAAACCAAAGGCTGATTTCCACTGTTGCGTTTTTCATACGTACGTATACCCACGTAAAACTTTAAATCCGTTTAAATGTTACTTATGAAATAACCAAATAAATAAAGCAACAGAATTTAGTGTTCCGCAAGTTGTAGTATACATTTGCAGGCCTTAAAATATCGGTCGGTCACGGACATTGTCCGACCCATTCGTGAAATTGTCCCACATAGAGAGGAAACCACCGGACATTCTGTCCGACCTAAGTGAAACTGAGGTTTATTGTTTGTCCGACCCAAGTGAATTGGTGTCCGACCGAACTGTAGCTTCGTCCGACGTACTATTGTATAAAAGGTGTACTGGAAATGTTGTTTTAACATAGTCGAGCGCGGGGCGGCGAGCGAAATGGTGAAGTGGAAAACGGGCTTAAGTTGTCGAAGTCTTTTTTAATACTGCTGTTCTGGCAAGTGAGTTAATTTTGGCTTGGAAATAAGTATGAAAGAAATTATTTAATATCTTTACAATATTTACCGTTTATTCATTTGTGTCATTCAGACTTATTTCCGAGTCAAAACTGAACTGAAAGTCATCAGACATATGTCCGACCCAAACTCAACGTCACCGGATATTTTGTCAGATGGCCTTGAAAAAGATATTTTAAGGCCTGCATTTGTTAACTTATTTGTAAAATACTTAAAAAATAGAAGGATTCAAAGTTTTACGTGCGTGTACGCAGTGGCGTAGCCAGCCCGACAATTTAGTCCCGCTATGCAAATTCAGAATTATTATCATTATTCATTTCTTTAGAAATTGATTGTTTTCACAGTCAATGAACACGAAAATATTTGCATAGCGGGACTAAATCGTCGGGCTGGCTACGCACTGCGTGTACGTGCGTACGAAAACCGCAACAGTGGAAATAACAGCAGCTTAAATTTTAACCCAAGGTTAGCGCAAATCCAACTTTGAACAACCGGCCCCAGGGCGTTAAAATATACATATTATTTTTCAATCAAAATTTCCAACAACGCAGAAAGCATCCAAATTGAGTTTTGACAAAGGATATGGCAAATAGCATTGTGGAGTAGCGGCGAATCGTTTTGCTCTTTGTTGATTTCGAAAAGTTTAAATAAATTATTTCCTTACCTTCGAATTTCTATCCACGTCCCAGTAACTTTTAACGGCCAGCGATAACATAGCTCGAGTGTTATCCATGTTCGTTTTAGATCCCGTCACTTTGACTCCGGAATCCGACTCGTATAAAGTTCGGTACAAATCTCCGGGTACGAATATCGTATTATCCATATCTCTTTCAACCTCATCGACATGTATAGCGTGGTGCAGTGAACAGGCTTGGGCCTGGGCATTAATGTAGCATAAGTTAGGCTGTCCTTTGTAGTCCAGTACGTAAAACAATTGAGCATTGTCGAAATGTAATAGTAGTTTACCAAATCCATCCTCATTATTTTCAATCTGAAAGGAATTAAATGTTTGTGTGATGTTACTCTGAGTGTATATCCACACCGGGCAGGCTTGAAAAATATGCCTGGCCACGGCGGGATTCGAACCTACGACCTTTGGAATACTAGCCCAATGCTCTTCCAACTGAGCTACGCGGTCAGGACGGTTCGAGTATGCGATATTTCGGAACTGAGTCTAGTTCGTTCGATATCACTGTAATCTAATAATCATGAAATCTGCTGTGTTGGTGTAATGTACTCAGGTGAATAAGATGTTATTCACCTGAGTACATTACACCAACACAGCAGATTTCAGAATTAAATGTTGTTGTTATATAGCTCTCCCAGAAAAGTTTGAAAATCAGGTGTTTACTACATCACTCTACAGTCTGTGCATTTACACAGTTACATATTTATGTAGTTATATATTTATGTAGTTACATATTTATACATTTACTGTATATAGTTATACAGTAACTGCATTTCTTAAGTCATACATACTGTACAGGTAACATTCGTTCTATTGGTTAGAATTTTCCCTCTGAATCTCTCCTTTTATCTAAATTATTACAATCATCTTTTGTTTCTTTCTTGGGGAAATATTTTCTGAGAACTCAAATATTTTTTGGGATCAATGATCCTGGTCCGATACTTTTTTCCACCCCTGGTCTGATCCCTCGTAAAATAGTTTGTTTTGTCTCGATGTTTCCAATTTGACATCCTGTTTGTTTTTATTTAGATCCCAAAATGGCGGAAGTCAAAATTATGTGTTGTAACGTAACTTGAAAGGGCTAAAAATGCCTATAGTTACTACTGTTCCAATGTACAGAAGACTAAATCAGAAGAAAAAAGTTGAATTGCTTTATTATATCCTACCTTAGTCCTTGAAAACATTGCAATTCTCAATTTTGAAGAGTTCAACGTTAGAGCTAAGGTATTGGTTGGCTTCTTCTCAGTCGTGTGTAAGATCTTTTGTTGATCAGAAACGTCGCTATCATCCTCGTCTGATGAGTAGGAATCTAGGAACAAATGCATAGAGATTAATATTAGTTAACCAATGGTAAGAAGTTGTTTCGTATACAACAGAGATCTTACGATGTGTGGAAGATGGCAGTGCGACAACAACAAAAACAACATCATTCAAATAAATTATTGTTATTGAGTTTGAGATAAAACATTAAGAGGCAATTTTTTTCAATGTCACGTATTTGCGATGAAAAGTGTTCAAAACCTAAAATCTTTTTGGCGTTCCTCTCAAAATTACTTTGTTTTAGCTTTATTCTTTAATTCATAGAGTTAGCATCCTTTTTAAATGCATCTGCCGGTCGAGAAACATAAAATAATAGTTAAAAATTGTCAATTAAAATACAGTTATCAATGATGCTTAAAATTGACGCCATATTTATAGCCATATAAGCAAAACTTACTGAACTTCAGACATCATTTTCTCTTTGGCGTATCATCTAAAATCTCTTCATTTTAGCATTATTTTACAGATAAAGCACTAAACATACTTTTTAAGTTTGTTTGCCGATTGAGAAACGTATCGAAAAATAAAAATTTTGAATTTAGTCATAACCTCAAGTGGTATATTATACGCATTAGTTTTGAGCGCGTGCTACGTAATATACAAAAAAATCTCCTCATAATGAGTTTGAGATGAGAACATGGAAGTATCAAATAAATTATACTTCCATGTTTTATCTCAAATGAGTAAATTAGCCAACCATATTGCTTTATGATAATACTGGATACCTGATGAAGTATATTGATCCTGTCCTAGGACTGGATCAAACTTAATTAAGTAGTGATCAAATTGCGCGATCTTGAAATCTAGTGCAGTCCTTATAGTCGGATATGAAACTTATTCACGTAAACCTTGTTCACAATTCATGAAGAAAATCCAACAGAAATCGATGTACATGCCGACCGTTCATACTTTAAACTTAGATAGTACTTCAATATCGTATCTCTTTACCTTGATTTATTGCTGAGCGACACATTTGAAAATTATTTTGAACATTTTTTCCATTTTTTAATCTAGCTGCAATATCCACATCAATCCAGTTGCTTGCAAGTACTGCATTATAGTCTGGTTTCTTTGCATCTGGTCCAAGTGATGGTTCCCATAGCAAGAGATCATTACCAAACCTTTGGAAAAAATGAATTTGTGAGAACGCTAATATAGCGAATAGCATACTGTATATTCATAATAAAACTTCAAACTCTTTTGTCAATACCGGTATGGTGTTGACTTAACCAGAAGCATGGTGATGGTATGGTAAAGCATGGTATGGTTATGGTGGGGAATGGTATAGTATTGTATGGTATGGTATTGTATGGTATGGTATTGCATAGTATGGTATGGTTTGGTATAGCATATTATGATTGTGGAGGAGTATGGTATGGTGGAGGAATGGTATGGTGAGGATAGGGTGGGGTATGGTATGGTATATGGTATGGTATATGGTATGGTATTGCATGCTATGGTTATGTTATGGTATGGAAAAGCATGGTATGGTATGATATGGTATGGAATGGTATGGTTGTGGTACACCATAACGGTATGATATATTTTGATACGATATGGTATGATAAGGTATGGTTTAGATAGACAGACAGACAGATAGGTAGGTGTATTAATGAAAAACAATGCAACCTTCTGTTGAATTACGTCTAACTTTACAATATATATATATATATATATATATATATATATATATATATATATATATATATATATATATATATATATATATATATATATATATATATATAT